GAAAGGGGCACTAATTACTTCTGAGCCTCAATCTTTGTGGGTGGCAATGATCATTAAAATGTTGCTGTACATATCCTTGATTAGTTGAGCCAATATATAGTTAGACAAATTTCGGCAATGCTTGGAATATCTGGATTGGAATTATTTGTTGCATGACACTATAATGACTAAAATGCATTGTAAAACATGACTCACAGTTTGTCACTTTGCATAAAGGTAATGTTTCTGAGAGGAATTTGAGATTCAAATTTGAGCTAAATTGCTTCAAAATATTCTCAATTTCAATTCATATGAATAACACACAACTTTCGAAGTGTACTGTCCTTGTACAGTGTAGCCCCTGTGCTGTTTGGGCAAGGGGGTCAGGGCTCTGCCCTCGCTACTCGCCGGGCTCCAGCGTCCCTGGTTGGAACATGCGTTTGTTTCCACAATGAAACTGTAACAATGCAGTTCGGGCCATTTGCATGTTCCAGCTTTGTTTCAGCCCAAAACGGCGTGTAGAATGCACCAATAATGCTTCCAAATGTCAATTTGCATTTAGCTCGCCCCATTCCTTTGTCATTTGTCGCGCGCCGCAAGCACTCAATTTGAAAAGCAGTGTTGATATCAGCTATCAACACTGCTTTTTAGTGATGGGCGATTACTGATTACTTGGTATCGATACCACCCGATACCAGGCCCAAACAGGAAGTAGTCGATACTGCACGGTATCGAAAAAGTGTTTCGATTACTTTTAAAATTAGACATTCATTGTAATGCTGCAGTTGTGTCATCATTTTCATGGTTATTTCTGATAAAAGTTATGTACTTTTTGGTATTTTGCTGCATTGATCAATTTAATCAAACTTCCTTTATACTTTATTTGACATTTTATTCTCGCCGACAGAATAAATTATGAAAAAGGCGGGAAATAAAGTCATTTTTGGCTTTTAATTCCGGATCAAATCGTTACTGTTAAAAATATGTAACTTTTTGAAAATTGGAGGAAGTAATCGTTTGGGTAATCGATACCTCGATACTTTAACCAAAAAGTAATCGGTATCGTATCGAAACCGATACTGGTGGTATCGCCCATCACTACTGCTTTTCAAATTGAGTGCTTGCGGCGCGCGACAAATGACAAAGGAATGGGGCGAGCTTAATGCAAATTGACATTTGGAAGCATTATTGGTGCATTCTACATGCCGTTTTGGGCTGCCTATGATTTTTGTGTCCAAATAACAATATACACTTAATGTCTGCTCCCGAGGGTAATAGTTAGTTTTGTTTTCCCGAGAATCTCAATGTTTCCCGAGACGAAGTCGAGGGAAACATTAAGATTAGAGGGAAAACAAAACTAACTATTTCCCGAGGGAACAGGCATTAAGTGTTTTGTTATATAGCGACGAACATAAATCAACTTCAACAACATTCATACAACAATTGTATTTCGTGACAAAAACTCTACTATAGTGTAAACAAGTTTAAAATGAAAAGAACCTACTTAAACGGTTTCAGCAGCATATCCTGTTGCCTGTTGTGTATTTTTCTTCTCTTTTATATTCTTTATTTGAACACAAACTTGGAAAATCGTAGTTTCTAATTATCTGAGTTGTGCCTCCATTTTGTTTATTTATGTACGTGGCCGGTCGGGGCGGGCAACAATTTTTCACTTGTTGCCCGGCGGGAAACATTGCATTTATCTGAAATCACGTGACCACAAATCAGCCAATCACGTTTGGTGTTCACGCTAGCTGTATAACAAACCAGTTTATAAACAGTGGTGACAACTCTTTGTATCATGAGTTAGACTCCAATAAATGCATTAGCGTGTGAAGCAGAATGTGCCACATTAGCACATTGGGTAAAATAGATCGAAACAATAACCAAAGTGTGCAAAACCACATGCATGGTGTGATACTTATCCTCAGTTAAAAATCCTTGCATAGTCACTGTGTTTTAACCTGTCAGAAGTAAGTACTAATAAGTAAAATCAGAAGCAAAATCCTGCCGCGGCCTCTATTTGGCAGGCTTGCGTTTTTCATGGTACAGTTTGTTGCTGACTCGTACGTAAAAAGCAGTGCATGATCAGGGTGCGATAACTTGAGCTGGTACAAACTTAAGAGTCAAGGTGTCCCTAAGGCTTATATACTTATATGAGTCTTGCGTTTTACACATACGTATATAATGCAAGGTCTTAATTAAACTTTTCTGAATTTTATAAATACGTTTACTTGTACGCAATATATCACACTAAATGCTCCACATTTATTTATTTGGTTAGTTCATGATAAACATTTTAGTGGATTGCTAATAACATGAAATAAAACTTCCAGACAGCCTAAAACGATTCCCAACAGCCGAAAACGTTTAGATCACATTGAATGGTTTAGTGATCTAAGGGACCGATCATTATTTAAGGCAGGGGGTGGCACCGAAGAGAAAAGGGTTGGGTAAACAAATTTTTGAGTGAGTAAAAGGTTGAGTAAATGAAAAACAAAACAACTCAAAGGTTGGGCAATAAAAAATTATTGTCATTTCCAAAGCATGACTCACTTAAATATTGGAGACTAAAAAGCAATGTCAACAGTCATATGTAAATACAATATGTGAATCAATCAGAGTCACTCTCTTGTCTATCTTGATCTTTTTCCGATTTGTTGGGAGACAAATGGTGTCTCCAAAGAAAGTACATGTGCTGACAACATGAAACTTTAGACTGCAGAAAATTGCACAAGCCGTTATCAAACTCGTGTCACAGAAGTGGTAAAGGACATGTGCGACAGCTGAATGGTATCCTTTTGTAAAGGTTTTGGCCAGGGGTGGGTATTTATTTTCTAATTGATATTTGAGGTTGGGTAATCAAATTTTTGACTTTCTAATGGTTGGGTCAGCAAAATGTTCGACACGAAAAACATTTCTCTTCGGTGCCACCCCCCACCATAAATAATGACCGGTCCCTAAAAGCAAAAACTATGGACAACTTTGTAGAAACAGATTTTTAATGGTATTTGTACGACATAACATAACAATTTTCAAAATGTTGTTGCGACTCGAATGCCATCGCTCAGTTTTGCCGAGGGTGCTAACAGCCTTAAACCTCATCGAACCATTTATGGACATAGCGTTACCAAGCGTAATTCGGAAATCTTCGCTGAGAACTAGTGAATTCACTCATAGTCGATAGCATATAGCGTCTATTACGTAGACGCCCAAAACACAGATAACAAAGTCAACGACCTTGTTCGAACCCAAAATATGTCGGATGTGTGGAATTTCAGTGAATACCTTGGAAGGTTTGCTAGTTATTGCTATAGAAGGAAAATGTAAGTACGCGAATAGCACATGTCCCGTGTACCTACGTGGTACTCTGCTAAAATACCACGTAGTATCAGACCATAATTTCGGCGCACCTCTGGTACGTTGCTACGCGAATTATCGCACCCTGTAATGAAAGAAATCACACTCTCAGTTTTGGAATACGCCTCACCTGTATGGCACTTTTCTCTCCCTCAATTCGTCGCTGACCAAATCGAGTGTATATACAAAAACGTGCATTGAAGATCGATTCCCCCCAGTCCTCTTATGCTGCTTCATTAAAGAATGTTGGCCTTCTTACACTTTACCAGCGAAGAGAAACCAGTGCTTGTCATTTTATAACAACATCTATCAACATTCAGACAACAAGTTAAGAACGCTACTTCCCAGTGCTATATATCTCACAAATTCTGTCTAAGAAACAAACGCACTTACGGTATCCTATGAACAAGTGAAAAAAAAGTGTTAGAAATTGCGTCTAAAATGTGTTAGAATTTTAAATCAAAACTACGCACCTGATTGGACAATAAAATTAGAAACTCATTTAACTGTCAGAACTGTTAAACTGAAACTTGCAGTTTTTCACACGCCGCTTGCAACGAATTGTGCACAGTGAAAACAAATTGGTTAAAATGACCAATTTAAATTGGTTGCAACCAATTTAAATTGGTCATTTTAACCAATTGAAGAATAGGTTAGTCTGACATGACCAATTAAATATTGGTCATTTCGACCAATACATAATTGGTTGAATTTTTAACCAATTTAAAATGGTAAATTTAACCAATTTCTTTTGATCAGTCAATGTTGAATTTCCCAAAATAACCAATAAAAATTGGTCATATCCCCAACCAATTTAAAATTGGTCATATGCATAACCAATTTAAATTGGTCATCTCTATAACCAATTTTAAATTGGTCGAATCCATAACCAATTTTTAAATGGTCAAATCCCATAACCAATTGTAAATTGGTCAAATGGGTAACCAATTATTAATTGGTCAATTCCCATAACCAATTGGAAATTGGTCAAATGCATAACCAATTTTTTAATTGGTCAAATCCATAACCAATTCGAAATTGGTCAAATCAGTAACCCATTCTAAATTGGTCAAATCTGATCTGGCAGTGTTTTCTGTTATCCAATTCTGCATGTAATTTATTTCTGTAATGCATCCATACCTTTGTTGGCCTTTGTTGTTTTACTCAGTCAAACACTAGATTTTACTCGTAAAGAGGGGAGACCTTTAGTCAATACACCACAGACACAGTGTCAGTGACAGTGGCTAAACTTTGATATTGATTTTATATTTCAATTGTATTTATTTAGTTTACCTGGTCAAAATTTTGCCGTCCGAGTTAATTTTAAATTCTTCATGAGTTCATGGAAACTCTATTTACACAAAATATTTATAGTGTTTGTCGTGTGACATATAAACATGCAAACGAAAATTCTCACGATCGACGAGCACGGTTTCGCACGGACAGGCTGGGACCTAGTTTTCCGACAACACGCGCAAAGCCTCCCGGGATAGCGTCATCACACTGACGCCGCCATATTTATTCGAAATTTTTATTATTCATTTTGATTTTTTGTTGCCTGTAAAAATGATAAGTAAATAAAAAGATAAGTAAAAATAAAATAAAGGGGCTTGCCAAGTGGTTAGCGCACTTGCCTTTCACCTCTGAGGCTGCAGGTTCGAGTCTCACTAAGTACCTTCTCAGTGCGACTCGAACCCAGTCCCCATGTGAAAAGAGTAAAAGTCAACGCTCTGCCGAAAGCCGTGGGTTTTCCCCGGGTACTCCGGTTTCCTCCCACAGGGAAAGTTGACAGGGTGGGTTAGGTAAAAAAGGGCCCACAGTAATTGGCATATGCTGTTGTGGTGACCCTGCCCTAGTTGGCAAAGCTAAATAAATAAAAAAAATAAATAAATGAGTATTTGAAGGCAAGGATGAGGATAAAAATTTAACGAGGATAAAACATCATGGATGATTGCCTAGCATACAGGTAAGAATATTGTTATGTTTTCTATATAATAGAGCAATTTTGAAACGAAATATTTGCAATCTTCATTCGTGAATTTTGAACCATGTGCTCCGGCTTAAAATTTGAATTTGCCGCGACAATATATGAATTAAAACGATAATATAAATACATTAGTTTTTACAAGGGCTTGCATTTGACTCAGCCCTAGTTTATATATCGAATATGACAGATAATTTGTAACAATGTTTCTTGTCTAGAATAATATAGCTTTATAATTGGCATCATTCTACATTTCTACTCAATCCTCATATCATGTGCCCACTTAAGCACGTCCCAGCTAAACATGGCTTGAGAGAATTTATCGACTTTAATAATATCAACTGCTACTTTCATAAGTTTCAAATGTTTATTCATATATATATACAGTATAAGTGGGTCGGTTTAGATATAAATGTCAATTTGATGTGTTATATGGCAACTTGATTTATTGACAGTTAAGTCCTAAAAATGCATGAATAATAATACTCCAATAAGCCTAATTTTCAGCACTTTGTTAAAATTAAATGTTATCTTAACTAATGCCGGACAATTTTATTTGTCCAGGGAAGTGTCTAGCTAGACTCTGCCCATGTTTCATGTTGACATATTTAGATGCAATTTTACCTAACACTCCCCACTTTAACTACTGCGATATTTAACTCGATGGTGGAGTGCTTGCCCATATTTCACGTTTTAAGTATTAACACCCAAGAAGCAATTTCCTCTTCTAAATGTTACCTACTTTAAGTTCTTTGAAGGGGTGTAGAGAATAGAGTCTTTTTTGCTATCCTGCTGGATACAGGATAGGTTGGATAGTTTTTGCTATCCAGCCAGATATGTACACGATATAGTATGTTGGATAGTTGAAAATATCCAGCCAGATTCATGGTATTATTATCCAAATATATATGGTTAATGCCTCATAAATTTAAGGTCACTCCTTTAAATGGCGATGTGCCCAGCAGCCTGGATGCTCCCCACTGTATTATTTTACTTGTCAGTTGTCAGGAGGAGAGTGCTGACAGTCAGTGGGTTAATCAGACTATCTGCCCATGCACCCTATCAACCCTTCAAGTGGCAATGTGCCCCACTTTATTATTTTACTGTCTAATTAGATGTCAGACAATTTCACTTGTCAGGGGGAGAGTGCCGCCACTCAATGGGTTAATCAAACTATCTGTCCATGCACCCTACTAACCCTTCAAGTGGCAATGTGCCCCACTTTATTATTTTACTGTCTAATTAGATGTCAGACAATTTCACTTGTCAGGGGGAGAGTGCCGCCACTCAATGGGTTAATCAAACTATCTGTCCATGCACCCTACTAACCCTTCAAGTGGCAATGTGCCCCACTTTATTATTTTACTGTCTAATTAGATGTCAGACAATTTCACTTGTCAGGGGGAGAGTGCTGCCACTCAATGGGTTAATCAAACTATCTGTCCATGCACCCTATCAACCCTTCAAGTGGCAATGTGCCCCACTTTATTATTTTACTGTCTAATTAGATGTCAGACAATTTCACTTGTCAGGGGGAGAGTGCTGCCACTCAATGGGTTAATCAAACTATCTGTCCATGCACCCTATCAACCCTTCAAGTGGCAATGTGCCCCACTTTATTATTTTACTGTCTAATTAGATGTCAGACAATTTCACTTGTCAGGGGGAGAGTGCCGCCACTCGATGGGTTAATCAAACTATCCGTCCATGCAACCTATCAACCCTTCAAGTGGCAATGTGCCCACTTTGGATGTCAGACAATTTCACTTGTCAGAGTCCTGTCACTCAATGGGTTAAGTGCTTCACCTTCCCTAAATTTATTTCCACTTCCCCCACTATTTCCATCAAGAATCCAAAATCCTCCTTGGTATTATGGGAACTGTTTTCATTGGGAGATTGTTGATGTACTCTAAGTGTGTTTCGTCAGCAATATTATCAATCATATAGTCAGTCTTGATATGCATGCACTTATCTTTTCCTGTTTTACCTACAATCAACAGGATGATGATGTTACAAAGAAGATCAAGAAATATGTATCTCCAAGACTTCTGCATGATGTTTGTTGCTGAAGGAATGGTTGTCACCAAACTGAAAGCTGTAAATATCTTAAATATCTGTATTTTGTTTGCATATTGTATGTGTATAGTGCTGAAGTTGTAACTTGACACAGTAAGAATGTGTTTTTATTTTTGGAACATATTCTTATTCCCTGCAGTGGAAAGAAGAGACTTACATGCATGTTGCTAATGCCAGTTGAACACTTAATTTCTTTTATGATATAGAACATTGCAAGCATGCATGCATGTCCAAGGGTATCGCATACATACAGTTGATTCCGTTTGACCGATAGATATATTTTTATACAATATATTTTCACACAACAGAACATTAATTAATATACAGTATGTGCATCAAATTAGGATTTCCATCAATGTTGGGATTGATTTTATTATAATTAATATTAGCCAAGTGAACATTATTTTGTGTGACCTCCTTTTGATTTTAGAATATAGCTTTAACTCTTTCTGGCATAGTTCAACAAGTGTTCTAAGTACTACTGGCTTAAGGTTATTCCAGCATTGATTAAGGACATGCTATACAGTAGGCTGTCTTTACTTGTGGTATCATGTTTCACTTTCTCTTGTTTCAAATGGTCCCATAAATTCTCAATAGGATTTACGTCCCGAGATTGAGGAAGAAAATTTTGTAACAACTAAATCGCCTTTCTCGTGCTTTCTTCTTAAATAATTTTTACACATGTGAGAAGGGTGGTTCGGATCATTATCCGTTGCAAGACAAATCTCCTTCCACACAACCTTGAGCTACTGTAGATGGTATAGTGTGATCTGGTTGTTCTGGATTTCTGCCTCAACTTCCAGCCGGACCTAAATCCTATTGAGAATTTATGAAAAGTGAAACATAATCCCACAACTAAAAGCAGCCAACCAATAGCATGTTGTTAATCAATAATTCTGGAATAACCTTGGAAACCATCAATACTAAGAAAAACCATATTAAATACTAAGAAAAAAACCATCAAAATTTGTTCAGTCTACATGTATGCCAGGAAAATTTTAAGCTGTTTTAAAATCAAAAGGAGGTCACACAAATATCAATATAATATTCACTTGGCTAATATAGTATAATCAATTCCAACTGTAGTGTATATCCTTATTTGTTGCACATATAGTAGTGTGTTGTGTCAAAATGTATTGTATATCAATATAAAAAGGCAAGATCATATTGACTGGACTCAGACTTTTGACCAGTGGCATATAAGGTGGCTTTTCAAGGTGACTTTTCCAACTTATTTAACTCCGAGGAGAAATGTGTGGGAAAATAATTTTCAGAATTGTCCAAGATTTCACTCCCAAAATGCTTGAAATCGCATTTCAGGGGATCTAGATTTTAAAATTTTCTTGGGGGTGCATGCCCCCGAACCCCCCCCCAAGACGGTCTCATGCTTTGCATGAGTTTGCTCCCCCCCCCCTCCAAAATGAAGGTCTGCGTAGTACGCCACTGCTTTTGACCCCCACTGTATAACGATGAACTACTTGTAATGTGCAAGCCAGGAGAATCAAATGCGAAGTCCTTTGTCGTTATATTTTCTCCTTTTATAACAATCCTTTTATTTGACAAATAAACTTCCATATCATCCTCCAAAATTATCAATCACAAAGATCAACCCATCTTCTCCAAGTAAAACAACATGATCTAGCAGCATGCGTTCGCAAAGCACGTTGGGCTGTGACAATGACAATATTTCTAAGCGGCGGGATTACAGTTGGCGCGCAATAGATAGAAGCCGTTTAATGCGTGCCATGCACTTCGTTGCCATTGTTGTTTTTGCCAAATAAAGTTGTCGATAACTATGTCCATAGTGAAAGTTAATTATTTACGACTATTATGCTGCAAAGAGAGCAACGCTCGTTTTTATGATAGAAGAAAATCTAATGAGTTTCTCTTACGATGGATTCGAAACATCCACGTCTTACAACCGAAGTTGACGACACGGAAGTTGATTTCTCGTCGTCTTACTTCAACTTTCAAATAAAAGGATTGTTAGAGAAGGAGAAAAATATCACGATAAAGGCCTTCGCATTTGCTTCTCCTGACTTGCACATTACAAATATAGTTTATCGCTACATCAACAAAATCTAAAATTTGATTTCGTCTACAATATTACATCTCTGTTTGCAGAAATGGGCTTTCCGTTTTGAAAACAACGGCCTTTCTTGTTTATCCGCCACATTTCTCTAAATCCAACTGTAATCCCGCCCCTTTGGCTCTAGAATTTACGGTCAAACGGAGTCCGCTGTGAAATATGAAATGGTTCTCTGACTGCATGCATGCGTGTAAATATTTATTTTCACAAGTTTTGGCTATATATGACTTGATAGCCTTCGACGAGTAAATATTGTAGAAATATTTACAGTCAGAGAGGTTTCGTGTGACGTTTCATCCCTATAAGTTATTATATTGCATATACTGTATATTGATTTTGTATTTTAATCTTAATATTTATTTGTTAATAAATTATTGTTTTTCAAGCACGTTTTGAATGGTTTAATGGCGAAATGGAAGGCAATTTTGATCATTTTAACCAATTTAAATGTTTTACCAATTTTAATTTGGTCATTTGAAATTGGTTAAAATGACCAAAAAAAATTGGTCGTTTGAATGCGTCTGAGACAACCAGTTTAAATTGGTCTTTTTAACCAAATAGTTAATTGGTCAAATTGACCATTTATTTATTGGTCAAAACAACCAATTATTTCCGGTTGTTTTGACCAATAAATAATTGGTCAATTTGACCAATTAAATAATTGGTCAATTTGACCAATTACTTTTTTGGTTAAAACGACCAATTTAAACTGGTTGTCTCAGACGCATTCAAACGACCAATTTTTTTTGGTCATTTTAACCAATTTGTTTTTACTGTGTAAGTCGCGACTTACATAAGACGCGTCTTATATAAGCGGATTATCGCATATTAAATGATTCCCTACGGCTCTAGTCTTATTTACTTGCTAAAGCTATAAGACGCGACTTAATTATGAACAGCTAAAAATCCTGTTCTTAATTAAGTCGAGTTTTATCCAAGACGCGACTTACATAAGAATTTTGTACCTTTTATAGTTTATACGACAAACTCGCGTCTTATTTAAGTCGTTTCGGTCATTTGCTATCTGTTACTTTCCTTATGTGCATATATGTTATTTAAGAGGCAATTTTTTTCTATGTCACGTATTTGCAATGAAAAGTGTTCAAACCTAAAATATTTTTGGCTTTCCTCTCAAAATTACTTTGTTTTAGCTTTATTCTCTAGTTTATAGAGTTAGCTACCTTTTTAAATGCATCTGCCGGTTGAGAAACATAAAATAATAGTTAAAAATTGTTAATTAAAATACAATTATCAATGATGTTTAAAAATGACGCCATATTTACAGCCATATAAGCAAAACTTACTGAACTTCAGACATAATTTATCAATGGCGTATCATCTAAAATCTCTTCATTTTTGCATTATTTTACAGACAGAGCACTAAACATACTTTTTAAGTTTGTTTGCCGATTGAGAAACGTATCGAAAAATAAAAATTTTGAATTTAGTCATAACCTCAAGTGATAAATATATTATACGCATTAGTTTTGAGCGCGTGTTACGTAACATACAAAAAAATCTCCTCTTAATATACTAGTGAAAAAGTCTTAGGAAACTGTACAGTACATTTTTATAGATTTCTATTTCCGTTTTAAGACGTTATTATATATTCCATTTTCTGCAAATAAACCAGCGCGCAAAGACTGACGTTATCATTTGAAGTATTAGCATAGTACTTTTAAATTTTATTTTATTTTATTTTATTTTACTGTAACACCTCACTATTTACATGCTGCTTTCTCAAACACTTCTATGCCCTGACTTAATTCTGTTTTTGTCTGCATGGCTATATAAAAAATTAAATCATTTATTAAGAAAGCAATCTCAATTTAAGAAAATATTTCTTAATTAAAATGAGAAACATTTTAATTTCTTTGTACACCTCTTTCATCCAGAACAAAACGTTCGTTGATGATATCATCTTAAACATTCGGTGCTAGTGTGGGTAGTAGTAGGTACCGAAGAATACAACTACGGGCAGTTGTTTTTGTTGGGGTTTTGTTCTTTTTTTTGGGGGGGAGGCTATTTTCCATAAATTGCGGCTAGCGATAATGAAATTGCTGGATGAATAAAATTTTGTCTTTATCATAAAATTTCCCCAGTGGCGACGAGAGGGAAGGGGCCGGAGGGAAGAAGCATAAAAAAAATTTCCCGACCTAATATATTTCCTTATTTCTTGATGTTTTTAATGCACGTACAGTCGAACCCCTATTGAGCGGACACCTTCGGGACCTCGCCTAAGTGTCCGTTTAAAAGGGGTGTCCACTTAAAAGGGGTATGTAGAAAAACACAGCAGGAGGCAAAGGTGTGTAATTAGGTGTGTAATTTGAGTATCAAAACAGTAAAAAATATCTAGCAAATAATTAGCATAAAATGAAAATGTATTTGCGCATAAAATTTCATTAGAAAATGTATACGTCTCTCACAGTCATATAAAAAGGAATCAATACAAGTTTCCTTTCGAGGCTCACGCAGACGATAGCCCATTATAATGTCATTTACATAAAAACGGCGTTGGAAAGTTCTTCCAAACTTCGAAATTGTGCAAATTCTGTCAGCCGCTCGACAACTTTAAGGCTTCGGAGGAAGGTTTAATGACTGGTTCGTTATAAGAGATCAGTCAAATTCATCATCTTCGTTCAGTTCGTTGTCATCATCAGTGATCTGACATATATCTTTCGCCGGCTCCTCGGCTGACGGCTCACAGTCCTCCGTCCTCGTTCGTCACTTCCTCAATTGGTGTGTCACTGTCAATGTGCCTTGTAAATTGATCTCAATTGTTATTTACTGTCGAATATTGAATACATTTTATCAGACAGTCTATCGTCTGTCCGCTTAAGAGAGGTTGGTTTGCCCATTGGGACCTCAAGTAAGGCGTCCGCGTCCGTTAAAGAGGGGTGTCCGCTTAATAGGGGTTATGATAATAGTATTTTATTAAAGAAAACGAATGGGACCTGAGATATGTGTCCGCTTAAAAGAGGTGTCCGCTTAAGAGAGGTGTCCGCTTATAGGGGTTCGACTGTAATTCTTTTCTAATCATTTTTCTAAACTTTGCACTTCGACTGATGATTCCAGGCGTACGGGTTAAATTGATATTGCTTAGTACCAGAAAACGGAATCTCTTAATAACAAGAAATCAAAATAGAAATTTTAGAAAAGAATTTTGTACATTTTCATGTGTTTTGTGCTGAATATGCACTTCATATGCAATGATCTGGGTTTTTTTGCAGCCGACGATCAAGACGTTAGTAAAATATCAAAAAGACGCTGGGGGAGAAGTAAGTAACATCAGAAATAAATTCATGATCACTTCTTTGGTAACTTTCATCAATATATTTTGAAATCATACTATATAGTTTAACATTCCATTGTGGACACTTCTCTGATACAGGCAACGGACGTAATAAATCGAAATATTTTCCTCCTGCAAGCCAGGAGGTTATGTTTTCATCCGCGTTTGTATGTGTACGTGTGGTTTAAAAATATCAAACGATTTATGACGAAATTTTGTGTGCCCAGACTAGTTTCATATAAATTTAATTGACCTCATTATTTTGGCACTAACGCTTGTATCCTAAAAGCTCACTCACACTCAAAGAGTGGAGGTACATTTGCCCTTCCCTTGAGTGTCAGTGCTGTTTCTGAATAGCTAGCTATAGATAGTGAGTACTGAGTAGTCACAGAGTAACGCACGACACTAACCCTATACAGCTATTCGAAAACAGCACTGACACTGAAGGGAAGCTCAGATTGAACCTCCACTATTTGAGTGTGAGTATGAGTGAGCTTTTAGAATACAGGCGTATTACTAAGTGATGAGGTGAAGATAGTTCGTGTCAGTTATATCTGCTTATGTCCAGCCATTCTGCGGCTCGCCTGCGTTGCAGACCGTCAACTTGCGGGCGAGGCGCACGACGGGAACTGAGACGCACAGTCTGCTGGATTTAGCTCAATGTAGTTTGCATACCGCGTTCGGCTAAAATATTACATTACTTATGTATACAAGCATCGCCATCAAATCGAAAAATTAACGGTAGCGTGCAATAGAACGCCGTAGGTTTTTTAAACCTAATCCTGTACAGTATACGTAGAAACAAGTGCCGTTGATTTTTACAACACGATAAAATATAGCCACTTCTTTCAACCTCACAAGTAGGTGAATTCTGACGGGTTTACTATTAAATTGGATTAGTCGTGCGTGCAAATTGAAATGCGAAATATAGACTAAATCTTATATAGGACGTATAGCCACATTAATTGTAAAGAGCGTCGGAATGATTAATGACATACTGAATGCATGTCTATTGTGCTTTTTGCGCTAAGAGGTCGAGGTTTTGCGGTTTTGAATTCGACTTTAAAATGACAATTTCAATTGGTTTAGTTATAGATAAGCGCGCATGAAATATTTTATTCACTTTTCTTAATATAGAATGGATATCCTTTTGAATCGGAATATTTATAATTAAAAACATAGACTAAATTCTTTAAAGATCGAATTGTTCCGTGTCTTACAATGAAGCAAATATCTTCTCCCACATAACATGGAATTGGAATTTTCCACAAGTTGCCAACGATTTTTTCTTCATACGGCTATTTTGTATGATATAAAAGCCACTGTCGAGAAAATCTTAGTTACGCAATACGCGCACTTCCCCACAAATAACGGAAACAGTTATAATAAGTTTTTGATAACTTGGAAGTAGCACTACATAAAAATTGTTGTGTTTGACTAATATTGCCCCCATTACCTTAATTTCTGCATACCAAATACACTATTCACTCCTAGTTTTTAAATCAGTGATCTGATAAGTTTTATTTATTAGGACGCCACTGGAGACGGCGAGGATCACCAGGAGCTCGTGGACCACCAGGACCGAAAGGGCCCAAAGGAGACAGAGGGTCTCCCGGATCTCGTGGTCCAGCCGGAAGTCCTGGATCTAAAGGACCACCAGGACCGAGTGGGTCCAAAGGGGACAGAGGGTCTCCTGGATCTCGTGGTCCAGCCGGACCTCTTGGATCTAAAGGACCACCAGGACCGAGAGGGTCCCAAGGAGACAGAGGATCTCCCGGATCTCGTGGTCCAGCCGGACCTTCTGGACCGAAAGGATCAACAGGACCGAAAGGGTCCAAAGGAGACAGAGGGTATCGCGGATCTTCTGGCGTAGACGGACGCCGTGGACCTCCCGGACCAAAAGGTAAAACATTAGAAAATGCCTATGCTTGGACAGTGGACCGCTGACCAAAAGGTTCCAAATCGGTTTACTTATTGTTTTGTTCATATGAGGAAGTCGCTGGCCCGCTTGTCGAAATTTTGACTCAGCTTTCCGAGACATGATCGTCGCGATAAAGACGTCACGTGTGAGCACACCAGGCTCATTATAGCCAGCTTCCAAAATTAATTAAGTCAACAAAAAAATTTGGAAATTTGTCTTGTAATTTGACAATTTTTTCATAGGAAATTCTAGAGTCTATGTTTGCTTGTCCAAATCGTGCATCTAATTCTAGTATTCGGTGTTCGGAAAATAGTTTTACTGTCGTTGCAATGGAAGTGTTGATAAAATATTGCAACAATTCATTACCTAACACTGATCAATTCATTTGGTCAAAAATTGCTCAACTTCCTGTTTACTGGCATGCTTGTTCCCAATTGGTCAATCAGTCACTGAAACGTAAAGCCATTGGTTGATTCAAATACACGGGAAGTTGATCAATTTTTCAACGAAAGAATTGATCAATTCTAAGTAGTGAATTGATACGGTATTTTATCAACACTTCCATTGCAACGACAGTAAACTAACAAAGCGCAATAACAATTTGAATTGCAGCCTGCGTGTTGGGCTTTCGTTGAAACGGTAAAGACGAATCGAGAACAAGGACTAAAAGCCGGGTTTTTCTGCAGCGGCAAAGCTAGCCATAGCAACAGGTCATAGTTCGCTGCAAATTTTTAGTGGTTCACATTATTCAAATATTTAGAATTAGTATTTTTGCACAAGTGAACATAACAAATCCTACAAGGTGATCGGTCAAATTTGGCGTATTAATCTGTTATATTCACCTACAGGTGAATATAACAAAATCGAAATTTTCAAAATGGCGGCTAGCCGTTTTGTTGCAGTTAGCGATAAAGAAATAAGCGAAATTAAAATGAATTCTGACCAGAAAAATCGCAAGTTCTCAGGCTCGGTGATTATTCTGACCAGAAAAACACAAGCCCTCAGGCTCGGTGATTATCGAGGAATATTCACTTCGACTTCATCTCGGCGATTAATATTCCCCGCGATAATCACCTCGTCTTCGGCGAATAATTGTTAAATGTATTGACTTTAACCTGTTTAGATGCTAATTTATTAGCATAACATGACTACTTTTCATGGCTAGCTTCGCCTCTGCTTTTCTTCTCTAACTAGAGCCTGCCACACAGACTATGTGAATGTTAAAGGCTGTCTCTCTAAGAACCGACCAATGACTCTCGGCTCAAAAAATGAAATTCTTCGTTACTTTCACAATGAAATGTATTTACCCCAAGAACAAAGAAACACTATTTGGAATTTTGAAATTTTATTAATTTCTAAAATTTCAGCGACTTTTCGGTCCCGCGCTGTCGGGCAGAAAATCCTCTGCCTAAATCAGGAATAAAAATTAGCCGAATTCAAATACATATAATTTTAAAAGTATTCAACGAAATTTTATGATTTTTTCACCCACCAACGTGCAAATTATTCTACTTTGTAACTTGCCTTGTTTTATGATGCTTTTACAGAACAATTATGGCAAACTTTAGCGATAACAAGCACCGGGTGTAAATACGGCTTTGTACGCATTTCAAATTCGACTTTAAATTTCTCAAAAGTGGCACCTAACTGGATTCAGTGACTAATATGGTTAAAAAGTGGGAAGTTTGAAGTACCCATATCCATAATAAAACTTGTTACCAACCACGATTTGAAGACTCGACAGCCTCTGAAATTTGATACAATTTGGCTGATATTTATTAATCTAAACTCTGTATGTCTATTCTGCACGACTGGAAAACAGGGACGGCGCTACAGGGTGTGTGTGGGGGGTGGAACACCCCCCCCCCAATCGTCAGCTAATCGGCAAATTGTTATCTCAGTCGGCAAAACTGGATTGGCTAAAGATAACCACTGAAGAAACCAAAATTGACCTCCTGAGTAATTGAATTCAAACCGAATATTACGAATAGCATGCATCAAAGAAACCACACATACAACAATGCAAATTTTTTACGGTGTAAGGTTTAAAAACTGACGGGTATTGTGTATTGTGTATATACGTTAGATGTTTGAAGATCAAATTTCGCGCGTCTGGAGTTAAAATTTGGCTTCAACTTTCGAATTTTCCGGCTGGAGGTAACGTTCCAGTTATATTCCGATTTCAATGATTCGTAAATTAAATGCCTGATTAATAGTCCTCCAAGACGTGGAACAGATTTTAAGAAATGCCGAGATTTTGACTTTTCGAGGGCTGCAAAATGGATGCCGACAGGAATTTTGGGTTTTCTGCCAGTATGCGTGTCTCAGAATGATGCAAATGCCATTTCCGGGATTAAAATTTTAAAATTTTCCGTGCCTTCGGCACGAGTGTTGGTAAGCCAG